CCCCAAAACCCCAAAACCCCAAAACCCCAAAACCCCACATCTTCTCTACAAATAGATTCAAATTTTAGACTTTTAGTGGATGAAATCATACAACGATTAGTCATCTTCCTTGTGGTAAAAAAGAGATTTTGCTCCAAACACTCTTTCTATTGAATGACCTACAGACCAATTCTTTGGTAGGTATTTTGGCTCTAGATTATCAAGGAAGAATTGCCTCCACATCATTATGAAATCAGGGATTTTGTCGTTTCCGCCATACTTCTCAATGATCAACTTTCCATAAATGTTCTGTCTTTTAGTAGCAACAGATGATGTATGTCTTGGTTTGAATTTGAGAGAGCCTTTTAAGAACTGGAAATCTATTTCTTTCGGTTCCTCTTCAAGAGAGCTTAAGAATTCTTTCAGGGATTCATGCTGCTCCTCTTTTAACACTTCTCCTTCCAGAATATTCCGAGCTTCCTCAATGCAATCCTTGTACATTTCTAGAAGTCTTTCTTCTGGAATCTTCTTTTCTCCTCTAATTATGCTTCTAGGTTTTCTTAGAAATAAATTTAGTGTTTCTTTTCCCTGAGCTTCTGTGTTAAGAACCTTCATTGGAACATTAAATTTCTCAGATAGCTCATGCTCAAGCTCAGCTTGCTTCTTAATAGCCATCTCATTACAGTTAAAACACAGCAGGAGGACATCATGGCTTCTATGAGATTTGTACTTCTCTGGGAAGAAGATTCTGAACTTTGCAGGAATGATTTGGTGCCTAACATAATTCTCCCCACTTCCGCAAGCAACACAGATATTGCTCCTCTCCTCGACATAAAACTCATCATCATCTCTCTCATCATTAAAGTTCTTGATGCCTCTTCCACTTGGTTCAAAATTAAGCTTGATTGTAAGTGGCTCATCACTAATTTTCTCTGCAAGACCTCTTTCTAAATACCACTCAACTTTCTTCTTATCACACTTGCATAAAATTTGGCTGTCTGGGGCAAGGATCATACAGTTCTCATAGATAGGCTTCTTGAGGGAGAAATTCTCTATAACTCTTTGCCTCCTTTCTTGCTTGCCAATCTTCTTTTTGGCTTCTTTTTCCCTAGCTGCTGCATCCAAGATGAGCTTTTTAGCTAATTCTTCATGAATTTTCCTTATTGATTCGTCGCTGAGGTGCTCTTCAGAGATTTCTTTAATTGCAATTTCTGATATAATTCTGAGGATATTAGACCTATGATCCTTCAGACTTTCTCTGATAGGAATATTCTCAAGGCTTTTACAGAACTCCTCAGCCTGGGATGGCAAGGAAGCACAGTGATAGCAATGCTTATAGTCAATAATGCAGTCAGGATTGATGTCATTGGCTTTGAAGTATTCATCACATTCTTCGTAGATAGCTTTGAACCTAAAAATCGTGTCTAAATCCACCTTTTTGTCACTTTTACACATCTTGTATAGAAGTTTTGTGAATGTGATTGGCTGATGCTTTCTGAGCAGGTCTTCCTTTTGCATCTTCTGGTATAGCTTAGTTAAGTTCTTTAGCTTCAATGGCCCTCTAAGAAAGGACTCTTTTGAAAGAATCCCCTCATCTGGCCCGTTGAGAGCTATACATAAGAGTTTGTATCTCAGTGATAGTAAATATCTGGAATCATTTGCAGCATACGATAGCATATCACTTGGAATTGGCCTTTGCGACCATTTGCTTGTCTGAAACTTTATCTTGGTCTCATTATCCATCTCAAAATTTCAGAAAAGAGACCAGAGATGGTTGAGCGCAAGTCTTTTTCCTCCAATTTGTCTATAAATATCCTGTGTGTCAAAAATATTCTTGATATTGATGCCGAAATCTCTATGAATCCAGATTTTATCAGAAGTGCCTCCATGTAATACTTTGATGATAGAATCATTTTCAAGGATCTGCTTTCCTAATGTCTCTGAAACAAAGGAATTGTCGTCAATGGCTAGGAGATCAATGACATAGTCACTATCAAGAGTGGATAACTGTATCAGTCAGAGATATCCCTTGTAGCTATAAACTGACTCATTCTCAGTGTCTATTCCAATGCAAATCTCTCTATACGATCAGTAAATTAAATCATAAGGGAATTTCATATTTAAAGTGATTTTTAAGACTAGGTTTTTGCAAGCAATCATGAATTCAAGTTTCCTTACCCTTCAGATGTTTCTATATGAGTGTGAAAAATTAGAAAATACCTGAACCAGACAATATCTGAGCCACTAAGTCATTTAATAACTCCTAGATTGTTAGAGAATGCGATCCTACTTTTGTGTCAATGATGATAAAATCTTCTCTATTCACTATTTTCTGAGAGACTGGCTCATGAATTCTCTCAAACTCGGCAATTACTATTAGAAAGTTATTGCATTGGTTCAGATTATGATCAAAAGTTTCAGCATGATGAGGAGACTTACCTTCTGACATTGACTGAGGGGATACCTCAACTTCCAGAGGAATATTGAGCAGTTTGTTAACCTCATAATACGATGATTCTGGTTGTTCAGATAACATTTCTGATTTAGTTTCCTCTTTTACAAGTGAACTGTCCATTTATTATTAAATTTAGCACTTCTTTTTCATTTAAGTAGATTTTAGAGGGGTTTTGGGGTTTTGGGGTTTTGGGG